CGTCAAGTACTTCCCTTCTGTTCTTGACTATGAAAGTGGGTTCTGTACCGACTACCATTAGCCAGCATCCTCAGCAGAGACATGACCTTACCGGGACCTGTTACCAGCCGCCCTCACGTGGAGAGTATAGTCGCACTACCAGCGGTGTACACAGTTACGGCACGCAATTGCTTGCGCGTAGGTCCCCCTGTTGTACCCGTTGGCTGACGGCCTATTTATCTATTAAACAACGTAAAAAAATTTTAAATTGGTTTAAAATTACGTGCTTAGGAATTTTTAAGAGCAAAAAAGTCCCGAAAACCCGTTTTTTCTAAATAAATCAAGATTTTGAGGGTGTTAGAAAAATTTTAAATACGATTTTATACTATATTCGACCTAATACACAATTCCAATTAGGTCTCTTCAAAAGTTCCTCCAAATTTTCTTTTTTTGTCGCACTGTGTAATTAACAATGAAGTAAAACGCAGTTTCATATGCAAAGATCTGGTAGAGTAAGAGGGTTCAAATTTTACACAAGAGCTTGACAAAATATTACGACATGCCAAATTTCATAAGGATCGGCCGACTATATCCTATAGCTGCCATATAACTGAACGATGGGAAATGACCCATCTTTCGTTTTTTTGAAGATAAAGCTGGAATTTAGTTCAGATTATGTTTTTGGTCAGTTAATCCGACCTACCAAATTTCATAACGATCGACCGACTATAACTTATAGCTGCCATATAACTGAACAAACGGAAATGGTTTTTGGTAGAAATACCAACTTTGGTATGTTTGAAGATAGAAGTTTGGGACTTTGTTTTAGATATTTTATTGTAATTAATTGGTTTTATTATTATATTCTCATAAGAATCGACCAACTATATCCGATGTTTGCGATATATATCCGGTTTTAACTGCAAGAGTATATCAACTTCCGCTCCGCCCGAAGTTAGCTTTCCTTTCTTCTTTAATCTCTTTTAGTTTAATTTATCTCTAGTTTTAATTATTATAATCTAGAAGTACAGATCATTGTTAATAATAAATAAATCAAAATTTTTCTCATTAAAGGCTAAACAAATATTTTATTATCACTTTATTGGATTTGTTTGGTTAATTGTTTTGGTTCAATTTTCATTTTTAAGATGGACACAAACGGAACTTTCTGTGATTTTTTTTAAAAAAGGACTTAAACAAAAATTTAATATTAATTATTAAATTATAATTTAATATATAGTGACTTTAATATCCCAGAACTTAAGTGGTCCAATGTTGATAACGCACCATCTTTATCACGCACCACGACATCACCGTGAGTATGTTTGACATTTCCCTTGGTCAATTTACCATTTTAGAAATTCGGAAGGTTGGCTAAACCTATGTTTTGTATTTGATCTTGATGGTACCATTTTTTACAGAGCCTTGCCCCTTTCAACACCAGGAGATCCATATCACCCTACGCTTGAGGTTTCAATCGAATCGATTCAATTCAATCGATTGTCGCAAGAAATTTTTGTGTCAATTTTCGTTGTATGAAATGGGTTGTCTATCAAATTTTTCAGTACATAGAAATTATATTCGCCTCTGCAGGATTCAATTTACTTAGGATCCGAAAGAGTTTCATAACTTTGTAAACACTAAGCGTAAACATGTATCTTTTCCTCCTGTGCATACGTTTAAAAAATTCATCTGCGACCTTTGATCAGGCCATTGCCGATGTATTCGCAAAATTTTTTTAACCAACTTACTCTCCGCCTAAAATGACAGATCAGCCCTACGCATACAACATTCAAAGTCCGTGCAAAACAAGATATCCTCGGTGCAATTGTTCTAAATGAATGTTAGTTATGTATTATTCTTCGTAACGTCTTTAAATTAATAAATACTTCCCATTTAAATTCGGTTCTTAAAGGGGTAATGTTTAGTAGTGCGACCGTTATTTTTAAAAATGTCTTGTCAATGTACTACGGTTATTTTTATCGAAAATTTTAAAGTTCTCAAAATGATTAATAGTATATGGCATAAAAGGCGAAAAAAGCAGATTTTCTGGAATTTTTTTTTGGCTAAATGATAAAGCCAATCGAAAATTTGTAAATGGGGTTTTATCATACTATATTTAAAGTACAAAATAAATAGAATAGAAAATTTCGACACTTCGACACTTTGGTCGGACGTATCTTTTGATATGTTATTTTTAAGACCCTAAAGAATTTTTTAAGCGAAAAAAAAAATTTTCGATTTTTTCAAAACTCTACTCAGATGTCCCCCCTTAAGAACTGTTGCTATAAAACAGAGGTCGGCACGGCCCTATCTCGGGGGCATAGGAAATTTCTCTGCCCGAGCTATGCCACACACAAACAGCATAAATGTGTGAAACGTCATGCTCACAGCCTACTTTCTGCTATTCGTTACTAACACTAATGCGGTAAAATCATATCAATGTATTGGGGAGCCGACCACTGCTATAAAAGCTTTAACGAAAAATAAAATAAAATAAATTTTTTTCGCTCAGTGAATGCTCTGCTCTCATTGTTTTTTGCTGCCTACGCACACACTCAAACAGAAAAAACCTTGACTTCGGACTAAATATTTTCTGTGACTTTAACACAGAATTTGCCTCAAGGACCTCAAGGAAAATGTGTTGTAGATGTCTTAAAGATATTTAAGGGGTTATATACCTTTTTTATTTTCAAAAAATCGAAAATTGTTGTATTGCTTTATCTTGAAGAAAAACTCCTATTTTCATAGAGTGTGTTTTCATAGAAATTTTCATAGAGATTGGAGCAGTAGAAAAAAAGTTACAGCGCTCCTAACCGCGCGCTCGGTGCGGCCTTGAACTGAACTTGAAACTTTAAACGCGAATATCTCGAAATGGTGTTTCTTGAAAAATGACTGCGGTGACATGGATTGGCGGAAAACTACTAAACCGACTTACTTCAAATTTTTTTTTAAATGTTCGTAATGAAATTCTTCTGTGCTTGAACGATCGACTTTTCACGCACAAACTTTTTTTTCGCCGAAATGAATTTTTTAGTGAAATTTCTAGAGACCAAAAAGTTTATTTTAAAGCATAGTATTGAGTTGACGAAAATCCGCTGTTGAAATTCTGATAGCGATTTTGCACTTTATTCGGCTTCCGAGGTAGTGTGACCAAAACAATGAAGAAATAAGGTTATACTGAACAGCTGTTGTTTGTAAACAAAAAACAAATAAACAAAAATGAATTCAAAAGGATTGGATGTTGGTGTTTTGTTTATGTATTTCGCCGCTAAGGAGCTGATTAAGAAATAGAAAACTGGGTCAAAATCAAAATCAAAATCAATCACAAATCATTTCAATGCCATTTTATGGCATTAAAATGCCCCTTGTGGGTCAAATCCCATATTATGGGCTTCGTCTTGACCGCAGAAATTAATTTTAATTTGTCCTGGCGCGTCGAAAATGTTTCGGGCCGACTATTTTTTTGTTTGGTCAATTGACCCTCCATGTCACACCTATAAAAATAAATTGAAATATTTATTTTAACACCCCGAGAGCAGCTGTTTATTTTTTTTGATCCGGCAACACCATTAAAATCGATAACAAAAAATTTCGTCAACTCAGTACCCGCAAAATCTAGAAGGCAAAAATTTCTTCTTCTTTCCTTTTTTACACCGTTTTTTTTATATGGAGTTTGACAGCTGTCACTCGTTGGACAGCGGATTTTCGTCAACTCAGTACTATGCTTTAGCATAAAACGTTCCCGTATGAATAAAAAAAAAAATTTTAAAATCGATCGTTCAAGCACAAGGAAATACACTAAACTAATGAAATTTTTTTACTTTTATGGTTTAAGTTGACCTGTTTGACCTGGGAAACTGTCACCGCAAGGCTCTAAAAAAAAAGGCTCTAAGGGAAACAGCCACCCCTTAAAAACTATTTAATATTTTTCCACCAAATTTTGCAAAAACATTGTTAATAAAGTGTACTATCAAAAAATTAAAACATCCATGTAATCAAATTATTGCTACATACCTAAAAAAAAATCCGAACTTTGCTCTTTTTCTTCGACAAAGAAGGTATATAACCCCTTAAGCAATTATGCTAGTCTGTGAAGGGTTTAATCATAGGGAAGATACGACCAAACACTTTCCACTCAATGCTTAATCATTTAAACGTTGTTTTCTAAATTATTTGGACTTATAAATGATGTATCATCAAAAATCAACTACTTTATTTCCGCCCACTTGATCATAAAAGTTTATGACCTAAACACGAATGCTAAATCAGGCCAGAAAAAGTATGCTGAATCAGGACAGAAAAATAGGATAAATCAGTCCCCATTAATGGCCCAGAATCCATTAAAAAATGTTTAAATATACTTTGCGCGGGGTAGAAATTTATCGTTTTTTTCGGACGGACAACGATATGTTTCTAAAAATTTTTCACTTATGAAACAATCTTATTGTTATTAATCTCTAAATTTCCATTAAAAAATTCTTGCATACATTATTTTACTTTGAGACTGCGGTTAAAAAAATAAAAATTAATCTCAAAAATTAGCTTCCTCTGATGGAAATCGAACCCATGACCTAAATAATAGGTTAATGCCTTTGAAGTTTTAAGGCACTTGAAAGTCGAAAACCCCGATTTTAGCCCAAAACGTCGAGATATTTGTTGCTTTAAAATAAATAAATAAAAAAAAAAAACAAATAATAAATAAATAAAAATAAAATGTCGACATCGTTATCTCAGGAATTTAGTAGAGATCTAAAATTACCAAAATTAACACAATAGTTTGGAGTTGGTGTACATTCAGAAAAAAAATAAAGAATCTAGAGAGAAACTTAGGAGTATATGAAAATGAGTAATTACCAATAACTTTATAGAATCGAAGATATCTTCTTCGTTGCGTTGTGTAGTTTTCATAAAAATTATAATACGTGTTGCAAGGGTATACTTTTGGACAAAAAAAATCTACGCAGAACTCATACAGCTTATTTATATATTATTTAATAAATATATATAAAAACTTTTAGGTTCCATCCAGCCGTGAGGTAACTGTTTCACGTGAACCTTTGTATTCACAGCCATTGATGGGAGTAGAGAAAAATATATGTTCTATGTCCCCCGGGAAACCTTCAAATTTGCACCGGGAGAGTTATGAAAATTCAAATAAAAGTCAAACCACTTTGGATAACCCAGCAATACTTGAGCAGCAACTTGAATCACTAGCTTACCGAAAACTACAAATGGAAAAAAATGGTCTATTAGGACTTCAAATAAAATCGTCTCAGAAATCTAAAACAGTTCCAAAGTTGTCGTCAAGTTCATTGAGAAACTCCAATATATATAGCAGCAAAAATTCAGAAATATTTAGGAAAGTAAAAAACAACTTTGAACCTTCTTTATGTAATTCAATGACAACAGGATACAACACAAAACAGTTTTATTCAAACGTCAGTTCTTCAGGTAAGATATAATTACCAGACATTTAAAATTTTGTTTATCATATTTTATAAAAATAATTTGTATATTCTTTTATGTTTGCAAAAATGTATTTACAGGCTATAACAACGATGAAGATTTACCACCTCCCCCAAGTCCTGTCAGTGCAGTGAGTTCATCTTATAGTGAACTTCGTCGGGCCATCAAGCCAAAAAATAGTTTGCAAAACATGGACGATTCAAGGTCTTTACAAAAGGTACAAAAAAATTTAATTCATTAATTGATATTTACTGGCCGCTGTCCACTTAGTGAACAAACCTTCAAATATAGCCTATAAAACGCCACATTCCTACGCATTTAAAGTGACAAGTGGTGAAATTAAAGGAAGGAAGGAAGATCGAGGAAATCGATCTTTCAGTGACCAGTTCGAAACTTTACGAAAACCTAAAAGAAAGTTATATACGGTTGCCAAGGGCCACGTTTTAAATCACTGACGGAAGTACACAAGCGTAAACTTTAGCGTGCGTTGTTCGTTAACAAACAATTTTCTGGGTGTGTTCGATCTACATGAATAATATAAGAATCGAAAGTTATTTCTTTAATTCGATTATTTTTTGCTTTATTATAATTTATTTAATTATAATTATAAGCGTAATATAATTTTGGTCAACAGTGAGCAACGTGATGAAGCTGACATCTCTGACCCTATAAAGTATATGTATTCTTCATCAGAATAATCTCCTGCGTTGATATAAGCATGTCCGTCTGTCTGGCCGCCAGTCTGTCTGTTTTTAGTAGAGGTGGGCGCGGGCCTGTATTTTGAGGCCCGGGCCCGCACGAAAACAAAAATCGGCCGCACACGAAACTTTTTCACCAAGGCCCGGGACCGGCCCGGCACGCAACTTATTTACACATATTAGGAAATTTAAAAGACATCTTATTTATGTATACATATATATAATTTCATATATATTAAACCTAACTAAGTCATGTTTTTAATTAAAATTAATTTTTTCCTAAATTTTTGCTTTTTAGCCTAGTGCGTTTTTCATGTAACACATGGGCCGATGTAGAAAAAAGCTTTTCGCTCGTAGACGAACTGGCTGGAAAAGTCAGAATGGTTCGAGCTAATTTGAGAAGGTATTGTAGGTCCCTTGCATTTCTCCAAAATTCTAAAATATGTGTACCTAGAGCTACTGGATAGGCCAAATATTTTTCAAGCTCCATGTCGATATCGTTTTTCTCAACTTTTCTTTTTTTTTACATAACTTTTTTATACCCTTGCAAAGGGTATTATAATTTTGTCCAAAAGTGTGCAACGCAGTGAAGGAGACATCTCCGACCCTATAAAGTATATATATTCTTGATCAGGATCACCTCCTGAGTGTATATGAGCATGTCCGTCTGTCCGTCTGTCCGTCTGTCTGTCTGTCCGTTTCTACGCGAACTAGTCTCTCAATTTTGAAGCTATCGTCTTGAAACTTTGCACACAGCCTTCTTTCCTTTGCACGCAGTATATAAGTCGGAACGGCCGGGATCGGCCGACTATATCCTATAGCTGCCATATAGCTGATTGATCGGAAATGGTATAACTTTGGTGTTTGTAGAGTTAGAGACTTCAAATTTGACATGAGAGCTATTTTTGGCAACAAATTACGACATGCCAAATTTTATAAGGATCGGCCGACTATATCATATAGCTGCCATATAACTGAACGATCGGAAATGACCCAACTGAAGATTCGTGTTTTTGAAGATGGAAAGCTGGAATTTGGAACAGATTATATTTTTGGTCAGTTAATCCGACCTAGGAAATTTCATTAGGATCGGCCAACTATATCCTATAGCTGCCATATAAATGAACGATCGGAAATGGTATTTGGTAGAAATATCAACTTTCGTATTTTTGAAGATAGAAGCTTGGGACTTGTTTTAGATTTTTTATTTTAGTTAATTGGTTTTATTATGATGTGTTCATAAGGATCGGCCAACTATATCCGATGTTTGCGATATATATCCGGTTTTAACTGCAAGGGTATATAAACTTCGGCTCCGCCCGAAGTTAGCTTTCCTTTCTTGTTTTTACATAAAAATTCTAAAAACTTTCCATTTTCGGAATTATTTGAGCCTATGTTATTATTTACGTTATCAAAACTACTTTTTTCATGATCTTCTATAAATACGGAGAGCATTGCTTTTACCGTAGCTATCACATTTTCCTTTTTTTCCTCTGAGAGGAAATTCATCTCTCTATCAGAAGGGTTTAAGAAAAGTCCAACCAAATGAGCGATTGCCGAAAGAAACCTGACTGGTTGTAATTCGAGAATAAAAAAAAAATCGCGCGATCAAATCAAAATTGTTTTCAGGTCTATTTCGGGCTTTTACGGGCCTATTTAGGGTTTTTACGGGCCGGGCCTTTTTGCTAAGGCCCGGACCCGCACAAAGCCCGCACGAATTTTCATTTTAAGGCCCGAGACCGTTCCGGGCCTGTGTAAGCCCGCGGGCCACGAAAAAAACCCGGCCCGTGCCCACCTCTAGTTTTTAGTGTTAGTGTCTGTTTTAAAGTTATCGACTAGAAACTTTGCACACACCCTTCTTTCCTTTGCGCGCAGTATATAAGTCGAAACAAACGGATCGGCCGCCATATAACCGCCGTGATATAACTGATTGATCGTAATTACTATACATTTGGTGTTTTTTTAGAGCTTGAGAGTTTTCGATAAATTTTTTAGAGAATTTTTGATCGATTCTACTTTTGCCAAAATAAAATCAGATACTCAATTCAGATACTCATAAGGATCGGCCGTGTATATCCTACAGCTGCCATATAACTGAACGATCGGAAATGGTATTTGGTAAAACTACCAACTTTGGTATTTTTGTAGATAGAAGCTTGAAACTTTTTTAAAATTTTATTCCTTAAACTTGTTTTTATTAGGAAATTCTCATAAGGATCGTCAGATATATATCCGATATTGCGATATATATCCGATCCTAACTGCAAGGGTATATCAACTTCGGCTCCGCCCAAAGCTAGCTTTCCTTTCTTGTTACTGTCAAACGTTCGCCTGATAAGTCCAGGGACTGATACATATATAAGGTGGTCAAAAAAGTCTTATGGAATCAGTATATCAGTGGCGCTACAAAATTTGTTTCGATAATCTTCCTATTCGGTACATACTTTTACAAGAAACATACACAAAAAAAAAAAAGAAACGATCCATTCCTAAGTTATATGCGTTTGAGTGAAGCATCTTTTATAATTCCTAGAAAAATGGAAAAAGACAAATTCCGCGTGTTAATAAATTCCGTGTGTTCTTGGTTGGGTTGGCAAGCCGAAAATTGGCTTGACAAATGTTATTGGGACTCAGCTTCATTTAAAACAAAAATTTTTTGTTGGTTTGCCGATTTCAACCATGGTCGGGTGACCACTAAAGGGTTGTTCCTCTCAAAAATGCAAATCTGTGTAAATGTGTGTCGCGCAGGATTACAACCAATCAAAAACAACAACATGTTGATGGTTCCGAGCAGTGTTTGAATCTGTTTAATTTTATCGGGTTATTGGAGCGTTTGAAGGTCGATTGAAGAAAAACGGTCTCATTAGTAGAAGAAACCAGAAAGGGTAGCCAACTTCGGGTAGATCTGAAGTTGCTATACTCTTGCAGTTAAGGTCGGATATATATCGCATGTATCGGATACAGTTGGCCTATCCTTATGGGAATTTCTTTACAAAACCAATTTCGTAGAAAACAAAATTTAAAAAACTGTCCCAGGCTTCTATCTTCAAAAATACCAAAGTTTATATTTCTACCAAATAAAATTTCCAATTATTATTCCAGTTATATGAAAATTTGGTAGGTCGGATCAATTGACCAAAAATAGAATCTGTACGAAGTTCAAACTTTCTATTTTCAAAACACGAAAGCTGGGTCATTGCCGATCGTTCAGTTTTGTGGCAGCTGTAGGACATAGTGGGCGATGGTTTTATTATGATGTAATCATAAGAATCGACCAACTATATCCGATGTTTGCGATATACATCCAGTTTTAACTGCAAGGGTATATTAACTTCGGTTCCGCCCGAAGATAGCTTTCCTTTCTTGTTTTAATTTAACTAACAGTCATATTGACTGATACAGAGTTAGTCGGCCCTAAAAATCTTGTCCTGGGTTGGGAGGTCGTTTTGTCACTGGCGGGATCCGCTGGAAACCCGAGCCAATCCCCGACAGAGGAAATTTGGGTGTGAAGAAATTTTTTCTTTGTAGGACTCTTTTTGGTTCTGGATTTCGTCTTTCCCTGCGAGGATGTCCAGATCCCGGTGGATGTTTTCTTTGCGAACATACCAAGGTGCCCCAGTGATAGTTCTCAAGATTTTTGATTGTGCGCGCTGCATGATGCCTATGTTGCTGCTGCTTGCGTTTCCCCACAGCTGGGAGCCATAAGTACATATTGGCTTTAGGACTGAATTGTAGAGTAGTAACTTGTAGTCCAGACACTGTGGCGATCGTGATTTTATGATCCAGTGGAGGTTGCTGGATTTTAGTTTCAGCGAACGTTGACGTTGTTCGTTCCCCGAGAGCCGAGTGCGTTTCCTTGTGGAACTCCATCTTCGATGATGCAGTCGGCCGAAGTAGCTGCGTTACATCTCACTGAGAATACCCTATTGTAGAGGTACGACACAAGTGCTTGAGGGTGTATTTTGGCAAGTGGGTTTTAATTTTGTGCATGAGTCCATTAAGTCACACTCGGTCAAAATCTTGAGATACGTCGAGAAAAATAGCGTTACAGTATTCGCGCTGTTCGAAGGCTGAGCGTATTTGGGATGTTAATCTGTTCACTTGGTCGACGATTCCGTGGTTTCTTCGGAAGCCAAATTGGTGTGCCGGGATAATATTGCAAACATCCAGATATTTCATTATGCGAGTTAACAAAAACTTTTGAAACAATTTAGACAAACAAAAAAGAAAGCTTATTGGTCTACCCGATGTCGGAATAGTGTGGTCTTTCCCAGGCTTCGGTATCATTATGATAATGGATTTCTTCCACATTTTTGGGAAATAGCCAAGTTTAATTATCCTATTAAATAGATCAAGTTCAATCAACATCTTTGGCGTCCTCGCAGACTACACAGACGTCTCGAAAGGATCAGTATGACCTAGTTTGTCCATACTCTTATCAATTAGTGCATTGCACCGGACCGTTGCGTTTATATGGATTTTCCACAGTGACTCTCCGATGCAAAAGATATTTCAACTT